TAATGAATATTAGGAAAAATCTTATATACACACACACACACACACACACACACACACACAATATATATAAAATTATTTTTCATAAATACATTTTTTTAAAAATAAAATAAAAAATAATTAATTACCATTTGGTACGATAGTTGCAGGAATTGTGAAATCCTATCCAATATTGATCTGTAACACGTACAAAAAATCCAAAAATAATACCTAAAATAAATATGTTGAAAAATATTGTGCGCAAGATTTTCTACACCATTTTCTAATTTAAATAAATATTTAATAGAAGATTAATTTTAAAAAGATCTTCCTATATAAGAATCCTATATAATTATTTTAATAGACATAATTTAAATTAATTATAAAATAATAATTATAAAATTTTTTAGAAATTTTGTGAAATATTTTATATATATTTAGTAATGTGGGAATTAAACTGAATAATTACCGATAATATTAACTATACTGTAAAATATTTAAAAAATCTTAAAATATAATCTAAAATATTTTAATGTTACACAATGCATTATACGCCTTTATATATGTATGCTTTATACAGAGTATCCTTAAATTATGACATCACCCATCCTGAGCAGATAGAACGAACTAAACAGAGTCGAAAAATCTTCTACTATTTTGCAATTTTTCAATGATTAACGAGATATTAATTACTAAAAATCGCTAAAAAATATTGGTCTTCATAATTTTTTACTCAAATACTATCAACTTTACAAAAAAACTGCAAGAGATAAAAATCATTTATTTTTTCTCATAGAACTCTAAGAAATTTTTCAAAATTTTTTATCAACTTTTTAGTATTACAATTTGTTATTTTTAGCAACATGAGAAAATACGATATTAAAAAATTTTGAAAAAATTTTAAAAAAATTCTCAGAACTTTATGAGAAGAAAATAAATAATTTTTATCTTTTACTATTTTTCTGTAAAGCTGATAGTATTTGAATTTAGTCCACTCTACCTGCTCAGGATGGGTGATGCCGTAATTTAAGGCCACCCTGTATAGGTATGTATATATTATAAATCTGAAATTATACTTCGTGAACGATGATTACTTCTATTAATAATGAATAACGAAATGGATTATAAAATGCTCACCTCACAATTATTCCATCTCCTTTCAATATCTTCTTCATTCCTGTCCTCCTTCTTCCTACCTCGTTTCATACAAATCGCTTCTCCAATGGCACTGACAAATCCGTTTGCGAAAACATGTTAGTTACAATTAAGCGCATTAATCACAAATGCAACGATCGCACTTTGTACGATATATACCGATGTTCATCGTGATCGCGCACTTAATCACGTAATGACAGCGTGAAAAAAATAAGATCACACGAAACTACCGGACATTCGAAACTCACGACGACGCGAATAAAACGTCAACCCATCTAAGATGGCGGAGGGTTGGAGGGGAGCGTACATACAAGCGGCAAGCGCGCGTGCACATGCAGCCAACTTCACGCGCTAAGAGTGACGCGACGGTACTGCACCCAGCTACACCTGTTGCTTGCAACTTCACTTCATGCATTTCTCAAATTTTGAACAATAAATAATATACGCTTGTCTCTCGAATGACGATTATTATCTTATGTTATGTCGTAAGCTAAATGTACGAGTCACAATTATAGACAAATATGTAATTATAATATAGTGAAAATATAAACGATTTACAGAAATCGATCTAAGGAGAACAAAAAAGTCAAAATAATATATGTCATTTTAATCAATTATTGACCGAATTTATGTTAATTTTTTTTTCATGATTCTGTCAATATGACATTATTTTAATATTTTAATATTTTTCTTGTTTTCTTGTTTTGTTGAGTAATTTAATATTGACAAATTTAATATCAAAAATTATTTATTTTTGAATATTAAAAGCACTATTGTTCAGTGCAAGAATTCCAAGGAACACACAAAAGTCTTAAAAAAATAAAAATAACTTTATTTGGCTGCATAAAAGTCAAAATAATGATATTTTGTTACAAAATTTGACTTTTCATTAACATTAAAAATCAAAATACTCGTAATTCGAAAATCAAGCCCCGAATTTATATGATGTGATAAAATATTGTAGTGAGAAATAATTCAATTAGATTCATATGAATTTTGCTTATCAATTAAACAGATCGTAAAGCTGTTCATCCCGAAGCTGTTCAACACACCACAACATCAATCTTGTATCATGAGATGCATTCAAATTAATGTTTAACAAATATACTATTGGTCAACTAAAATCTGCAATTGAAATTTAATATTACGTGCAGCAGAAACCAAAATATAATAAATCTTGTAATTTACAAAAACATAATTAATATAAAATTAAATTAATAAATAATAAATCAGTGTATTATGCTTAATTTGTTCGTTCTCTTTTACAATTTGTGTACTTATATTTTATGCTTCCAATTTAATGTTAATTTTTTCCAAAATTTCTCATATTTATTTTTATATTGCTTCAAACGTTAATCATCTAAATTCTTTTGAAACAGTCCGAATTTTTACTTAATTACAAATTAGATATAACTTAACATAAAAATTTTTCCAACTAAAGCAAGGAAATCGCGAATAGACCGCAAGTTAATTATTAACATTATTATTTTTTTCTATACGTAAGCCATTACGTTTCTTCGAAGATAATTCTTACGAAAGATTGGACGTATTGATAAATAACAATTAATTAAGTGATGTCGACTATTGATTATTAGTTTATTATAACAAAGTTTATTAAGCTTTATACAATCCCAGTGACCGAAAAAGTTGTTAATGAAGTTATCAATTACGTTTTCCAATAATTGAAAAGAATAATTCAACCATAGCGGTGTATTTCGCAAGGCTTTCGGAGGTGGTATCCGATGCGCTTGACAGATAGCTAAAGCTTGTGTTGGCTTACACCAACACGATCCGATAGGGTGAAATGAAAACACATAAATCATGAAATTCGCACTACCAAACGCGGCGAGCAAATCGATCGGCAATATATTGCGATTCATAATTTCTACGGCCGTGCAACACGAGTCATATATAATTATTATCGCCCCACGCGATAATGAATACGGGATCGGCAAACGTGGCGAGAAATAAACTTGCAGGCGAGAATTGAGAACGAAGATAATGATCGTCCAACGTCGATGTTCGTTACTTTCTAAAAATGTTCCTTACTCCTCTCGGTGTGGGACGACGTAACGTTACGTCGCCGGAGCTTTAATCCGCCAGCGAGATCGTGGATTCTTATCAATGTCTTTCTACTGCGGCGGCCCAGGACACCGACGCGGCGTCGTCGAACAATAGGCAAGGCAGGAGCCACGTAACGTCGAGAGGCGCGAGAGAACGCGTCCTTCCGGCATTTTAATATGCCTCTCAGTGTTACACGCGTGTTTCCGCGTGCTTGTGCGCGGAACAATGCAACACACTGCCGACGTACGGTGGGATAAGATGAGAGGTGTGTGGTAATTAAGCGACACGCGCTCCCACGCCCTGGGACATTGGCTCGCTGCACAAGCTGCGAAACTGACACTTTAACTTATCGTACGCATCCGTCCTAGTCAAACGACATAACTCTGCATCGTTCCGTGATTAATTCCACTATTACACGAAATCGTAGATACAGCGCGATGTTGAATGATTTAACCTTCGATATTACTGCGGCTTTCTCCATTGATCTTTCACCTTTCTGTTATGTGCAACATGTAGTTGCACACGAAATTTGATTGAAATTATATATATATATATATATATATTTCTATACCTCCCTCCGTTCTTCTCTTTTCAATTGATTCTAAAATTAAAAAATTGATTAAACTTATGGATATATTTATTAATCATGCAGGATGCGCGTGATTAAAGCTGATATCATTATTAGTTGATATAAATATTTCTATATATAATACTAATGCAATTTACGTGTAAATAAAAATCATTTTGATAAAGATGCCAGATATCGCTTGGCCACGATGATATTTTTATGACCTTTCAAGTAGCTTGAGTTAGTAATATTGAAATGAGTATTATTAACTTACGCTTCATTCGCGTAATATAAAATAATGAGGCTAATAAACATCAGGGATTACTTCACTCTGAAATGTCCGTAATGCGGTCTCGTCGGTAACAATAATCACAGTAGAATATCGCTTTGAAATAATGGAATAATACCGCAGCGATGAAACAGACGGGCGTCGCGGATAGATTTCGGCACGAGTTCGACGAAATTGTGTTGTGAGAAAAACGCCGTTTGCACAAATCACCGTTTAGAACATCGTTACTCAACGGCTTTGTTAGGAAACGATTTACGCAACTTAGAGTCAATGTAAATTATACCACTTATCTTCATGTCCTACGCATTAAAATTCTATGATTTTAAAAATAATCTTCATTTATTGTATAATATGCAAAGTATCCTAAAACTTTTTGACACACCGCTCGTTGAACAGATAGATCGGACTAAACTGAATCGAAAAGTCTTCTATCATTTTGCAATTTTCGCAATAATAACGAAATATTAATTTCTAAAGATAAGCGAATAAAATCAATGTATAAGATTATCTTTACAACTAAATCTAAATAGCTTTCAGAGTTCTTTATGAAATATCTTAAAGATGTTTCTTAAAAATATCTTAAAATTACTTTATCATCAATTTTTAACAGTCTACTCATTAATTTAAAAAAATTACTATAATGGTAAAAGACTTTTTGACTCAGTTCAATCCGCTCTATCTGCCCACAAACGGTATGTTAGGTAGGGACAGAAAATTTACTTAATCATTTGTATAAAAGATTTGATATCAACAACTATAATGTCAAAGTAATTTCATTTTTTTAATCTAAATAGTATGCATTATTCGTGTAAAAAATTTGACGTTAATAATTGGCGCCAATCCCACATCAAATTAAATAATCTAATTAATACAACCTTTAATTTTTATATGATGTAACCTAATTATATATCTTTGTATTCCTATTGCATGTAAAATTTTCCTATTCCAATCCATATTTAAATAGAAAATTTTTTTATATAAAAAAATACACTGACACTACTAGATCGAGTGAGAAAAATAAAGAAAAGTTTAAAAATTTTAACTGCATAATTGATGAAAGTAATTAATAAGAAATAGTAATAAAAATAATAATTTAACAACAATTTCAATATAACAATGAATTAAATCTAAATGTTACACTGAAAATAAATAAAGTTTACTATTTATTTTTATTAATGCAGGCCTTATCAATCTAAATTTATTTTTAGACTAAAATCTAATCACTTTCACAATTTTCATAATACCATGCAAACAATCGAAACTTTAATTCTAATTCCGCACGATTGTATGTATATATATGATTGTATTGTATCTCGCTCGTATACCACGCTAGATATTTTCAATAATTTTTGTTGGATGCAATATAAATATATTGTATGATATACAATATACATACTACATTATTTATATGAAATGGGCTTAAATTAATTGCTTTTTTTATATCTCTTAAACACAAGTTTTACAAAGTTATTCATTAAGTGGTAATAATAAATATTTTTATGCATTCCAAGCACTCTTAATACTATCCTGTAACAGAAATTGGTTCGATATCATTAATAATACCCAAATTAAATCTTCTGTGATAATGAAACGTGATACGTTTGATACGATCGATCTTCTTCTGACTCATCTCTGAATTGATATCGCCTTGATACATAGGATTCATCGGGCCGAAATCAATCGTTTCAAATTGCTGAACGTCCTTTTCCTCCGCCAAAATCGGATTTGTCAAAAAGCATCCAACGAGTACTCCGTAAAGCGCGTAAGTTCGCAACTCCGTCTCCAGCCACTCGATTCCGAGCTCCGCTAGAATCTTCTCATCTACATGCAATCGACAGAGTTCATTGATGAACTCATTATGATAGATCTTGATGAGACTCTCGAAACTCTTCTCAATTAGTGACGATTGCACGCTGCTATATATGAAGTAAAGGACGTCCGTGGATAACGAGGTGTACCTGAGTATCTGATAATCTACCATTTTTAGATCGATTATTTTGCCGTCATTGTCATGCAGGAAAAGCAAATTATTGATCCACGGATCACCGTGGCAGATCGTATCGTATTTTTGTTTCGATGACATAAACAGTTGACGCAACACGTCATAAGTTTTATTGAGGCAGGCAAAATAATCTCTAATAGTCTGTAATTCTTGCGTTTGTGGCTTTATCATATCTAAATATTGTATTATCGATCTCACACACATTTCGGTACACGACCTCATTACCGATGTATCGGAATTGTCCTTGTATATTAATTCTTTCAGATGCTCACTGAACTTGTCAAACTGCTGCGGATTATTGATTTTTATAGACAGACCCGACGCGTGTAGCTTGGCAAGTCTCTGCGAGAATATAAAAAATATGTGCTATCAATTTAGATGAAATATTTGGGTGAAATTTAGACGAGCAAGAAACATGTATTTGGATAAATATTTCTAAAAACTGATATAAGCCAAAAGAATTACATATTACATATTGACAAATTTTTCAAAAAATAAAGACAATTTTTTATTTAAAAAATTAAAAATTTTGATTGAAAAATTAAAAATTAAATATCTTTTAACAACAATCTTAACAAACAATAAAAATACAGATAATATTAATAAAATATCACTTCACTATTAATTTCTAAACTTTAAGATTTATCTCTGATAAGACTTATCTTCTCAACATACAATAAAACTTATAAGATATGAACTTATAAGAACTTATAAGATATGAGAAAAGAAAGTGTTATCTGATAAAATTTTTCTTAAAAAGATTCAATTTAGTTTAATAAAATTCGAGATGTATCAGTATCAGTGTTATTTGTAATTGCGTGGATATAAAGGACAGCTTTTGAAATTCTTGTTGATATTATTTTTATGCACAAATATATATATACAATATATCGTATCATTAATCATGTTAATCTGTGACATCAATCGATATTTAAAATTTCTGGCTGGATTTACAGATAATATTCATTAATAATTATTAACAACTATCGCGATAAGATAAATGAAGCTAAAGTCTGATTATCATATGCTGCTGCTACTATAATTATTATTACTACTGTATCAATATGTCGTGTCATTAATCATGTTAATCTGTGACATCAATCGATTTGAAATTTATTTCTGGCTGGATTTACAGATAATATTAATATTGATTATTAACAACTATCGCGATAAGATAAATGAAGCTAAGGTCTGATTATCATATGCTGCTGCTATTATTATTATTATTACTGTATCAATATGTCTAGCAACACTTTTACTTGTCGCACATCATTTACAACAAAACTTTATAACCTTTAAAATTTACTCTCTAAACAGTCAGTTAAAGCAATATTTTTATTTATTTCATTTTCTCTTGAGGAAAAATTTCTCATTATCTCCTGATAATAAATTATCTAAATATTGATTATCTAAGTACTTGATATTTTTTCTTTAGAAATTTAATTACATTCTAAAGGAAAAAAATCAAATAATTTGATGTTATACAGCATGTCTTAAACTTTTTGATACATCATTTATAGGCAAGTAAAGTAGACTAAAACTAAATAGATTAAACTGAGTTGAAAAGTCTTCTACCATTTTGCAATTTTCACATTTTTTTACCTAATGAGTTCTACCTAATGAGCAGAACAATTTTAAATTAGATATCTTTAAGAATCTTTAAACAAAAATATCTTTAAGATATATTTCATAAAGAACTCTAAAAAATATCTTAAAATTGTTTATACGTTGATTTTACCGGCTTATTCGGCAATCTTTAAAAATTAATATCTCGTTGACTATTGCAAAAATTATAAAATGTGTAAAATTGTAGACTTTTCGACTCACGATCAATTTAGTCCATTCAGTTTAGTTTCCCACAAGCAGTATGTCAAAAAATTTAGAACATCTTGTATAATTATGTCTAATTATTTCTAATCTATTACATTTTATCTATCTGAGATAAGTTGTACATATTCCGGAATCTAATTTAACGTACCTTTAAAGCGAAGACAGAATGATCTAAGTCCAGAAAGTTGCGCCTTTCGCAGGTGCCATATCCTTTTTCTGCCAAATCTTCCATTATTATAATATTCTGATCAGCATATATACATGAAGGACCAAAAGATCCAAGCATGGGCAATATTTTTGTATACGCATCTGCCTCAGTACAAAATAAATCGGAAATATCCAGTAATGTGAAGATTTTCTTCTCTCTAATAATCATCTTCGTCATAAAAGTCTTGGCATATGCTACACACAAACATGGAAAGAGAAGAAACGTATCTATGTATGCATGCTGTACTTTTTTTATTTGTTAAGTGATGCAACGTAGCAAATTATTTTACGATTTCACAGTGTTGGTCGTCCATCTGTCTGTTTGTCCGTCTGTCTACAAAATTTTGTAGAAAAATCTATTTTTAACTTTTTCAAATTTTCTATTTTTTGCATTAAGTAAGTACTCAAAGATCTTAGGGCCACTAATGCAAAGTATGAATTAAATCAGTTGACAGTAATACGATCAATTTTAATAAAGTTCTTTCAATAGTTACAGATTATTCGCTGCACTACTTACAATTAATTATATCTGTTTATTACAAAAGTTTATTTTATATACTATAATAAATAAATACGATATTTTCAACTCAAACAATATATTATAGAATTTCAAAAAATTATTAATTTTGTAAAATTCTAATAATTCTAATAATTATTAATAAGTACATTAAGCCACTGTCAAAAATTTAGTTTATAATAATACGATTAAAATGAATTAATAAAATTCATTTTTATCTATAGTATTTTTTAAATACAAACTAAATCATTAAAATTTGTCTGTAAAATAACTTTTTAATAAAAAAAGAAAAAAATAAAAGATGCTCTTTTCTCTCCAAATATTACACGTTACTCTAATTAATGGCAAACAAATAAACAACATTGTTTTATCTCTTTTCTTCTTTATCAAGACACTATTGTTAAATGTTATATAACGGAAAATTATATCATTCTATTAGATGAAACATTATTGAGTCTACCAATAATTTTTGTTTCTTCTTGGTAATAACATAAAATTAAAAATAAAAACAACTAACGACTTCCGTCTCCGCGAGTACCAACAAGTTTCGTTCTGATCAACATCGACATATAATTATCGCCAGGATTTGACCCTGGCCTGTCCACGGCCTGTAGAATCACCAACTTGTCATCGTTTTCATACTTTCTCAGATAAGCTTGATACTGTTTTGACGTGTCTGAAAATTAAGTATGTCAAAATAATATTAACCGTGAAAAAATGCTCAAGCTAGAAACTTGCAGATAATATTACAAATATTTCTAAGATTTCTATGTTCAAAGATTACTATATATTTAGTAGAGATAAAATAAAATGTTAAAATGATTTTCACTAAACTAACACGTATATAAATGTTTGTTCAATAATTTAATTAATCTCGCAGATATTGCTTCATAGTCACAAATTAAATTGACCATTTCCTTGTAAAATAAACAAAATGAACTATAAATTGATTATAACATGTCTATTAATAGTGAGACGGATCAAAATTGATCCTAGAAAGATTATGTAAGATTTGTATTATTCAATTTTAATGCTTTTATAATTATATTATTAAATTTCACTATATATTACAATTTTTCATATAAATAATATTATTAATTAATTCCATATAAATAATATTTTTTTCAATGGTAATTTAATTCAGCTTTTATCAAAATATTTAATATAATTGATCACACACTCAAGGATTCTCGATGCAATGTTTGCGAGAAGCAGAAATGCAAATATTGATTTTCGCTACAGATGTGGAACAATTTTAAACCTAATAATTATCAGATCTCAAAGATCACGAGGTAAGCTATAAATTACACTTTCTAAATAATGTATATAATATGATGATTAATTAGTTTATCATAATAAATCATAAATAATTTAAAACAAGCCCGTCATAATTCAATAAAAATTGTGGCATAATTTATGCAAGGAAATCAATTTCTTTGAAAATCTTATTATAAATTTTTTATAGATTTATATTTAGCACTAAAATTCTCCGTATGATCTTAACTTTTTTCACATCAAATTTCTATTACTGATTTATGTTGTATTAAACTAATTTATGATATACTAAAATATATTCTGTAATATATATATACATATATAAATTTCGATTATATTTATATGAAAGAGATAAGATCATTTTGACAAGACCATGATATTAGATTTAAGATTATACACAATAATTCTTTTTGATATTTTGAAGCTTTATAAATCCCTAAGTATACTTGATCTGATGTATCTATTTTCTTATCTATTATATTATTAATCAATAAAATGCTCCTGTTAAGGTAGCATAGTAACAGTAATCACTTGAAATATATTCAAATATCGCTGAGCTATAAAGATTTTTGCAAACGTCGTTGGAGTAAACTTTTCATCAATGCTTTTAGCTTTTTAGTGAAAAAGTTAAATTTTATTGTTAATAATTAATATTCAATGCAAAAATAATCTATTCGTGAGACTGAGGAAAAGTTATAAGTTACAATTTATAATGTTATAAATATTTTTTAACATTAATTAAGAAGATTAATATGTTATTAGTTTACTAAAACGATTACAATTTATAAATTCAATAATATTAATATAACTATTTTATTAAATTTATTAAATTTAATGGAATAATTTTTAATTATTATATAAGGATTGAAATAATTTTCATAATTTTATAACAAATTTTTATCATGAATTATTATAAATCATTGTTATCACTTTCATCTTATTTTAACTATATTTATTCCATCGCCGATATAAAATATAATTAAAAGATAATAATTTAATTATTATTAAATAAAATTAAATAGTAAAGAATAAAATTATAAAATAAATTTTTTATTTCAGAGCTCTAATTTTGTATTGTGTTTTAATCAAAAGCAAATCAATTTCAAAAAGAAATGGATAATATGTACGATAGCGGAAATTATTTATTTGAAATTAAAGCAAAGTGGAAGAATAAGTTATACTAATTAAAAAAGTAATTTTATTATTTTTCTCAACGGTAAAACTGCAAAAGACTTTAATGCTATGGAGATATTATTCGAAAATTTCACACACCTTCAGGAGATCGGACAACGGTGAACGTTTTATTCTCCATCATCACACACTTGAAGTGTATTACTTCACTGATCGCAATAGTAAAGGCCCTTCGTTATATACGGCTCACCAACTTGTGCTCGCGCGACATCGGTCATCACAGAGGAACGAATTGTTCCGAAGCACGAGACACCTCGTGTCGTATTTCTTGGAACGTTATGAAAATGACGTAATATTGTGTAACCTTGCTTACGAACGATTGTGCAACTTACTCCAACAGTAACGTAACAGTGCGAACGAACTTGATATTTAATGCCTTATGTTTAATATAGCGATCTTGTCTTTCCGAAGTCATTTTTTGTTTTTGCTAAATGACGTTATCTCCAAGATTATTTGATAGCAGGATAAACTAAATTAAAAATCGACAAAGAAAAAGATGTCATGCGTCAAAGCAAGCCAAATTTAAAAAAGTAATGATTGCTAATTTATGTAATTCAGCTGAAAGATATAGTGATTAATTATATAGACATTATAAATATTAACCTTTCTGATGAAACAAATTCAAAAATTATTTTAATGTGATATCATTAATATTACATGTTTACATAATTTTGATAAGCCAGCGTTTTAACACAAATATTCTCAGATATCATATCTATTATATCAATAACTATTCAAAAATATTTATTCATGATGTGGCAACTCATTACTCTAGCTACATAAGATTATTAAATAATTATGTATTAAATAATTAGAGAGAAAGTTCATAAAAAAGATATTAAAATTAGTAAGAAGAAATATATATACAGATGTAGTATTATATTAGGTGTTGGAATTAATTCGTAGCGTTTTTTAATGAAAGAATGTTATTTATTTCACATGAGCATTAAAAAATACATTAATGAAAGTACTTCCCATCACTTGTAAAACGCTACGAATTAATTCCAACACCTAATACAAACACATGTTTATAATAGATTACAAAGCATATTACGTTATTAATAAAAACAGTCATATGCCAGACTAAAATTGTGCTATATGAAGAGAAACAAGAAGGGGATTTTTATTCAAATTTTTGGTAATAATATTTGATTAAAATTGTATAAATGAGTTCGTTAAATCTCATAAATAGATTCAAACTATACAAACATCAATATTTATGTACATATTCCGTAAGAGAATCATACATACGTATTGACCTTTAATAAACAATACAAACAATTTTTTACATCGCTTTTATACCATCTCTAATTACTAATACTCTGATCACTAATATTCTGTACAGATTATAATGGCAAAGCGAAAAGCAGAAGACAATCTAATCCCAGCTCGTCACTGGATATGTGAATATTATACGAAATTGACAAAAATTAATTTAGCAACATGCAATTATTATAACAGAAAATTTATCATAAACCAATAGACGCCTAGCGAATTTTCATGAACATTTGATAGCGGCATCCCAAATGAATTAATAGAAGAAGAGAAGAAAGAAGTTAAATTGAATTTGGGATGACTTTACGCAAAAACCGATAGAGAAACAAACATTGTAAAGTAATAATTAGATATAGTGTTACAATTCATTTAAAAAAATCACTTACAAAGAAATCACATGTAAGTATACTCCAGATATACAAATTAATAAACGTATTAAAGAATATAAAATTAATTGTAATAGAACTGTAATAGAATCAATAATAGGGAGTTTTTGCAATACCATTTATCCAGATACGGTGAATGCTAAGGTGAATGTTAAGGTTTTATTTTCCAAGCATTTTTATATAAATTTTTGTAGCATTTCTCGAATTCATGTAGAGTTTCATAGACTTTGCCAGTTAAGTTTTCTGTAGTATAACATTTTTTTTTTTGTAGAATTTTGTAGGACTTTCTTTGCCAGGAAGATTCTTATATTGATCATATATTAAAACCCATAACAGCTGTTAAAATAATAGTCGTATAATTATCGAATAATGTAATTATAACATTAAATGTCACTTATTTTATTACTTTATTAAATTTTTATCATTACTGTATTTCAACACAGATTCGCATCGAATACTTTAATTTTATTGGACCATATTATGGAGAGTTTTTTCGATATAGATTCAGCTGAAACCGTTTCGGCCACAATCTGGCCATCTTCAGTAATTCAATAATATTCTTAAAACGCAGAGTTACATCTAGTTGACATTAAATTCAACAGTCGAGAGTTGTAATTAAATAAACATGTTCTTTTATATGTGAAGATGCTTCATACAGTAATGTTACACCGTCAATTGTCATATCAAGAAAAGTGTAGAGCAAGAATTTCCAGATTCTAAATAAAATTGTATATATTAAAATCTTCTAGTCGGAATATAAAGAAATAGAATCATTACCTGTTTTACAGCAAAAAAACCAAATGATGAATCTCGAGTATTTCTTTTACACAGTTAGAATTTTGTCGTGACACTATGTGTTGTTATTTGTCCTATCATATATTTTACCACTATTTATATATCTGAGTCAAAATTTTTAGAAAGTTCTAGAATTGTTTATTAACAGAAAAAGACATCCTTTTTTAGAAGAGGAAAATAAACCTCAGGCAAACCTTCCGTGTCAC